GAAGCACTTCTACTTTGATCTGAATTGATTTTTACATTATAATCTAATATTTTTAATCAAGGGAGTATTTCTAGTTTTTGGTACATCTATTTAAGATTATTATTAAAATCCAAATGAATTTGTTTCTTAGTTAAGAGATATAACTAATCTATTATTCTGCTTGTATAATATGTTCATAATGAGTGAGAAATTAATAATTATTGATTTTTAATTTTATGTGCATTTAATATAAAACCACGATTTAATTATGGGAAATTTTAAATTCTTTTTTTTAAAAAGTTAAAAACACATGGTAAATTTTTCAGTGGATCAGATCAGAGAGATCATGGACAAATAAGACAACATCAGAAACATGTCTGTCATTGCACACGTTGATCATGGTAAATCAACCCTCACAGACTCATTGTTATGCAAAGCTGGTATTATCGCTTCCAAAGTTGCTGGTGATGCTAGAGCAACAGATACCAGAGAAGACGAAAAGGAAAGAGGTATTACAATCAAGTCAACTGGTGTTTCTCTTTATTATGAATATGACATTTATGACAATAAGACCTTAGAAAAAGTTTTTGATCAACTTGATCGATTCCCCAGGACACGTTGATTTCAGTTCTGAAGTCACAGCTGCCTTAAGAGTTACAGACGGTGCTTTAGTCGTCGTTGATTGTGTTGAAGGAGTTTGTGTCTAAACCGAAACAGTGTTGAGACAAGCTATGCAAGAGAAAATCAAGCCAGTTGTCATGGTTAACAAAATTGATAGAGCTATCTTGGAATTGAAGCATGATGGTGAAACAATGTATTAAAACTTCGTCAGAGTCGTTGATATGGTCAATGTCATCATCAACACCTATTAATAAGAAGACATGGGTGATCTCCTTGTTCATCCAGAACTCGGATCAGTCTCATTTGGTTCAGGAAAGGAATGCTGGGCATTCTCATGCACCAGATTTGCCAGAATCCTATGCTAACAAATTCAAGGTTGAACCCACTCAAATTATAAGAAAGATTGTGGGGAGACAATTACTTTGATGCTGAAGGGAAAATGCTGGAGAAAAGACAACATCAGTGGATCAAGGAAAAGCTATGAAGAGAGCCTTTCGTTGCTTTCATCATGGACCCAATCTGCAAATTGGCTAATGCTGTTATGGAAGGAAATATGAGATGTAGCTAATAAAATGTTTGAAACTTTGGGATTGAAACTCACATAAGAAGAAGCTAAATTAGAAGGAAAGCATTTACTCAAGGCTGTTATGTCCAAATGGATTAATGCTGCTGATACATTACTTGAAATGATTGTGTGCCATTTACCATCACCAAGAAAGGCTTAAAAATACAGAACTTCATATTTATATGAAGGACCATAAGATGATGCTATTGCTTAAATCAATGAGAGAATGCAAACCCAAAGGGACCATTAATTATGTACGTCTCCAAGATGGTTCCAACCACCGATAGAGGAAGATTCTTTGCTTTCGGTAGAGTTTTCTCTGGTACCATTGCTACTGGATAAAAGGTCAGAATTATGGGAGCCAACTACAAAGTAGGAAAGAAGGAAGATTTGTTTGAAAAAGCTATCTAAAGAACAGTTCTCATGATTGGCCAGCAGAGTCGAATTACATCCCAGATGTTCCATGTGGTAACACCAGTCGGATTGGTCGGTGTTGATCCAATATTTAATGAAGACATGGTACCATCTCAGACCACCCAGATTGCCATTTGATCAGATCAATGGAATCTATATTCAGTATCTACCAGTCGTCAGAGTTGCTGTCCAACCAAAGAATCCAGGAGATTTACCAAAATTAGTCGATGGATTAAAGAAATTGTCAAAATCAGATCCATTAGTGTTATGCACAACTGAAGAATCAGGATAAAACGTTGTTGCCGGATGTGGTGAATTACACGTTGAAATCTGTTTGAATGATTTAGAAAAAGACTTTGCAGGTATTGAACTCATCAAAATCCTGACCCAATCGTCTCATACAAGGGAAACCGTATCTGCTACTTCAAACATTGTTTGCATGTCTAAATCACCAAATAAGCACAACAGAATTTATGCTTAAGCTACACCATTACATGAAAATTTACCAGATGCTATTGAAAAAGGATAAGTCACACCAAAAGATGAACCAAAACTCAGAGCCAAAGCACTTAATGAAGAATATGCATTGGGATAAGGATGATGCACTCAGAATCTGGACCTTTGGACCAGATAACTCAGGTGCCAACATCTTGATGGATAAGACATCAGGAGTTTAATATATGAATGAATTGAGAGAATCAATGGAATCAGCTTGGTAATGGTCAACCAAGGAAGGGACCACTTTGCGAAGAAAATCAAAGAGGTATCAGAGTCAACATTTTGGATTGTGTCTTACATGCTGATGCCATCCACAGAGGAGGTGGTTAAATCATCCCAACTGCCAGAAGATTGTATTATGCATGCGAATTGACAGCACAACCAAGATTATAAGAACCAGTCTTCTTGGCTGAAATCACTGCACCAAATGATGCTACTGGTGGTGTATATAACTGTCTCAACACCAGAAGAGGAACAGTCATTGAAGAGGAATAAGTTGCAGGAACCCCACTCTCAGTGGTAATATAATTATTCTAATTTCATAGGTTAGAGCTCATTTACCAGTCGCTGAATCATTCGGTTTCACCGCCCATTTAAGAGGTATGACCTAAGGACAAGCCTTCCCTCAATGTGTCTTTGATCACTGGGCCATTGTCAATGGTAACCCACTTGAAGCTGGAAGCAAAGTATTATTTTATATTAATCATTTAGGTTAATGAGTTAGTCTTATCCATCAGAAAGAGAAAGGGTATCAAAGTCTAATTGCCAGACCTTAATGAATATTTGGACAAACTCTGATCTAAATATTGTATTTTAACATATCAACAATATTCAACCATAAAATATTGTATATTCTTTAAGAGGAATCTTAAAAATAAATATTCACTATTGATCTAATTTTCCGAAATATCTCTCTCCAAAGTCTCCTTCTCATGGGAACAGTAGATCTTGTATAGTATTTAATGCATGATCCACTCCAAATTAATTGCTTTCACCTTAGGAAATTGACAAAGTACTTTTGATATACTTTTTCACATGTAACTATGTTAACTGCAGTTATATTCTTCTAAATAACTCCATTTGATTGCAAAGCCTTTTTTGCAATAGCTATTTGACTCCTAGTCGTAATCATAGCATCTGTAAGAATTACCTAATTTAGCTATTTATGCATACTTATTTTTGATCCATGTCTTTGTGTAATTTCCAATAAATTCGCTATGGATCTATAGTCTAAGGGTATCCTCAAACTATGATCAATCTAATTGATAAGATGAAGCCAATCGACTCAAAAATCCTGCCTTAACTATTTTTTAATTTATTAAATTCATATTTAATAATTTTATTTTAATAATTATAAATACAAATCTTAATATGTAAGTGATTGTCAGAAGTCCATAGATTAGAAGCAAATAATTTGAACTTATTTTTATTATTATTTTTTAATATATTAAATATGGTTGATTTTAGAAAATTCATGCAAATAGTAATGCGCAAATTTAATGATAAATTGAATGTTTCAGCTTCTGCTGCTATGTTGATCGCTGTTTTTTGTTTGTATAAAGCCAGAGCTAAACCTAATTTGCCACTAGTGAAGATAAGCAATTTCATGTTAGTGTTGCAAAAGAAATTGGTTGAAGAAGTAATTTATGATGGCTCTCATATTTTATTCAGATGTGTCAATTAAGCCTAATGGTTATCGACCTAGGCTGAGCCCATGATAAAGGGAAAGGAATTATTGAAGGCATTGATGTAAGAATCACTCTTATAAATCCAAGGGAATATGGTGTTCCAAGATTTTAAAATTCCACTTAAATCTATTACAACGAGAAACAAATGATGTATATAATAATGAGCATAGCAGCCTTATCATATACATTTGGTATTTTTGCATCTCATTTAATTAATTCTAATAGACTTTCTAATAAATCTATGCTTGCATAATCAACTGGAGTTAAGTTTTCGAATATTTATGGATTAGATCACGCAAAGAAATAACTTCAATAAATCATTGAATATTTGTAAGATCCTTTGAAATACAGAAATGTCGGTGCTAGACTAAGAAGAGGAGTCATGATATATGGACCTCCAGGCACAGGAAAAACCATGCTAGCTAAGGCCACTGCAACTGAAAGCAATGTCAATTTCTTATACTGCTCAGCAACAGAATTCATAGAGGTCTATGTAGGAACTGGTCCTAAGAGAGTTAGAGAATTGTTCAAAAAGGCACGACAATCGTCTCCTGCAATCATCTTTATTGATGAAATTGATAGCATTGCATATAAAAGAAAGAACTAAAATTTTGGAACTGAAACTGGTGGTGATAATGAAAGGGTAAGTACTTTAAATTAATTACTAACAGAATTGGATGGGTTTAAAGAGAATGAGAATATTGTGGTCATTGCAGCAACCAATCGAATTTAAATTCTAGATGAAGCTCTTCTGAGAAGTGGTCGATTCGATATCAAAATAGAGATAAATTTACCATCAGAAAATGAGAGAAAAGGCATCATGGGGGTTCATTTACAAAATGTAATCTATTTACTGATGGTTTTATATAGAAAAAACACTAAGTTTCATCTGGAATGATCGATGTAGTAGCCAAGAATGCATATGGATTTTCGGGAGCAGATATGGAAAATATTACAAATGAAAGCGCATACATAGCCATTGAGAAACAATAAGAGTTCATTAATGATGCCGATTTCTAGGAAGCCTTAAAAAAGATCACAATGGGAGAAATAACATATGAAGGATTAAATATTAAATTTTTGATATGTGTAGAAATATATTAATTATTCATAAGTATCTTTCGATCAATGTTTATATGTTATCTGGCACTTGATATGTAGTTCTGAAAAACTCTTTGAAATGACAACCTAAATCAGATTTAAACTATTATTTCAATATATCCAAAGTATTAATTTAGACTACATGATTCAATTGTTATTGTAAAAGGATTAAGAAAATGCTCTAAAACCATATGCCTTCTCTAATGTTTTAATTCAACAATTCACTTTTGCTGCTACACATCCAATAGACAATCCTCTATAAGTTTTATATACCCTTGAATAGAATAAGTTATGTACCTCAACAGTGAAATCCTTTATCGATTAGGCTGATATCACAAGAGCCAAACCTGAAGTAATAACCTTCTCGAATAATTCAAACTTAAGCTAAAAGATATCTAAAAAGTCTTACACAACAAATGCTAAGTATGCAGTCTATGACTTCATTTAAGAAGTACTGTTTGTCTTCTGCTTGTTGTAATACTTGGGTAAATAGATAGAAGATATTAGATTGGATGTATTTGAGTTAGTATTCCTCTTGGCAGAGTGTCTTTCTCAAGAGGAGGAAGGCATTTTTATTGGTAATGTTTTTGAGGATGGTTGAAAATATCAAGTTATCATAGGGCACAATCTTCAACGAGGACAGAATTACCCAAACTATTTGATTATCAATGTGTTTGAGTAATAATTCAAATAGTTTCTTACTGACTGAACAGAATTCTTAAAAGAGTACTGCTTCAAACCATTATGGGCTATTTTAGTATAGTTTGATAAGGAAGTGTTATGCATGTCTGTGCTTCTCCTTCTTAAGCAATTCAAGGGTTTTGGAGAAGTACTCACTCATCACTGACTATTCTTAAGGGAAGAGGGACATGTTAATCGAATCGAAGGAAATGGTTAGGAGGAAGAATTCTAATTGATTGTTGGCTGACAATTGAGCCACCAGTTAATTCAAGACATTCGTAAATGAGCTAACACAGAATTGTTCTGGTATGTCTGTGATGCTTTCAAGTTTGGATTCCAAATTTACCATTATTTCCAAAGCCTCTGTCACTTCATTCAAATAAAAGTGATCATTCACTTACTCAATCGATTTATTGAATATGAGGGCAAGTTCCTAAGATTACAATATAAACACACCTCTTTTCTGAGTTCCTGTTGTTTCAAATACAACTATTCATATTGATAGATGTATTGCTGTCTTTTTTGCAACAATTTATTTTAGATGTCTTCTTTCCTCTGTGAGTTTCTCACTTATTCCCTTTTCAGTTGAATCAGCCCATCTGTTGAAATGTTAGAGGGAAAATCTGGGTTTGAATTCAAATCCATTATTATTATTAATTATTATTAATAAATTAAACCATTAAATTATATAATTGTTCATACTTTTCTTTTGATCAAATCTTTGCCAGTGCCTCTGAGAATGAAATCCACACTAGGGCCATCCTAAACTTTAATTCTATACTTGGACTTGTACAACAATTCAGCAGTAGGCTAGAAAATAAGAGACATCAATTACTTTGAATCTAATGAGAATCTTGAATGGCTATACACCTAACTCTCTTATGTCATCAATGGTTATTTCATAAGGTAAGCATGTAGCATGAGGTAAAGTATGCACCATAGTGGATGGCCCATCCTAACTTACCTTCTGTAATTTAAAATTCAAACACAGATGGGTCATCGGTTTTCTTCATTTCTTCCTTGTCCTCCAAAGTCATAGTTCGTTCCACTATATTTTTCCTTAATGGATTTTTTTAATGCTGCAATTTCCATTAGGCAGGCACTAAAGATAAATGTGGACAAATAAATAGCAATAGTTTTATCCTCCTGAACATCTCCAAAATCCAATACTTCAGGTCCTTCAACTTGATCAATCCCAGAGGTATTTAAGTGGACAAAGGGTCTCAATAGAATCCCTTCCAATTAAATTGACTGTTTGTCTCCATTGGCATAAAAGATATTTATTGATCCATGATGATACACTTTATAAGTAAGAGGCCAATTAACTGGGTCATTAGGCTGATAACCGTCAAACTTCACAAGCAATTCCACATGGGAATCAGTTACTAAATTGAATGTTTTAGCAATTTCAGTCTTCATACCAAGTTCGTATTTCTATGGTGAATTCGTAGATGTCTAAATTAATTTGAATGGTCCCTCAATTTCAAATGTACATACAAAACTTGACTTTTTACCTATTGACTAAAACCAACTTCTTCTCCTTACTTTTGATTGTAACCACTAGACCATTTCTAAAACTTAACCTGAAACCCTCCCTCCAACTTTTCAAGCTTATCAAATGTCAAGTAAGGTGTGATAGTCTCACTTTTCACATAGAAAGCAAACTTCGCCTATGGTCTTATCCTAATTAATCAGTCTTGGCCTGGCTACCAAACAAGCACTATAATTTCCAGTGTCTTGAGTAGTGAAATGTAAAGTGAAATGCTTCTCCTTCCTCTACTTAATTCTCTCCTTATTTGGTACCACTTAGTATGGACCATCCGTTGATTCTGGAGGCTCATTTGCTATAAATTAAACATCGCACAATGAATCCGATCCTAGTTGTGGTTCTGTTATTTTAATGTCAAAGTAATCCGACACTGTGCTATTTCCTAAATTATAGATTTTCCATTCCAATTCAACATCCTAAGGACCTGTATTCATCACTCTGAAATCTCTGCTGATTGTTCCAAAGTTTCGCATGTAAGTACCTAAATCGAAAGTAGGGAAATCTGTTTTGTAATTAAATCCTAGTTGACTGGGACTAATGACAATAGGAGATCCTTTAATATCTATTGCAATTGGAAATTCCTTTGTAGGCAGTCCTCGAATGTCGCAACACATTAAGTCTTCAAACAATCCACAAATATCATTGAACACTGTCACTTAAACAACCACAGATCCATATGCATTCAAAGTACCAGAGGATGGTTCAAATACAACTGCAATGCCCAGATTATTAGACAGATACACCCTTTAATCATGCTCCATCTTCTTTTGCTTATTCAATTTCAGTCCTGCTTCAGATGTAAAATTATGTGTTTTCTCAATCTTATTTGTTAATAGCACTACAGGTCTACCTCCTTAGGAGATCTTCCCTTTTTTGGATACAGATTTAGAAATTGAAGATTCAGCAAATTTGATTGTTCTTGCTGCTTAAGATTTAGCATCGAAATCATCAAACAGAGTTGATTACTCTTCCAATGCATGTGGCTGATATTTTCTCATGAATAAATTAAATTATGTGTGAATACCAGATGTGTTCTTAATTAAGAATTTAGCTTGTTTTGGCTAGTTGATAGTACAATTGTAAAATTCTAATTTATCCATTTATTAATTTTTGATTTCAGTGTCTGCCTTCAAAAGTGATTTCCTCGAATCCTTGAGACTTTTTGATTTTGAACTGACTGATGTCTTCGAAGAAATGTGTGCACTATCATCCACTAATTCATATTCAACAGACAATCCATAAATCATGGTATTCATCTCAAATCCCAATGGATATTGCAAGCCTTGCACTTCACAAACGAAGAGTTCATTCAATTTACCACCTTCTTTAGGTTTTATGGAGAATTTAATTATTTAATTTGTTTTTGGCTTAAGAACTCCCTTTTTAGGTTCAAATTGGACTAAGTATTTATCTTATTTCTCATTATCAACCACCCATTCAAAAGGAGTACTGATATTACCTAAATTCTATAGCATTATGTATTATTATGCTCTTTAATCAAAGGTGTAGGTATTTCCACAATACAGTGTATCAATATTAAGAGATAATCTATTTAAGGAAACACTTGGGTTTTATACTTCTGCAAATACATCTAAAACAACACAATCTCCATTTTCAACAGAAAAATATAAGAAATCATTATAAGTTTCAGCCTCTCGAGATTGAAATTCAACTTTAAATTATATTGAACTGTTTGGTTTGATCTCAAATTAATCCTTATTAAATAATAATCTTTGATCTGATCCAGACTATGCTTTAATCAGAGCTGGAACTGGTGACAAATTATTAATAGTTATTTCTTATGACTCCAATGAATAAGTTTGAATCAATCCATAATTCAACCAACTTTGTTTTACTGATATAATAGGAGCTATGACTTCAGCAAAGACTGTAATTAAAATAGAATTAGCATAATCAAAGTCTATTCTGTATTCCAACTTCATTTGACCAACCTCAGAACTTTGAACCCCCAAGACAATCTCAGCTTCATTATTAATGACACCTTGTTTTTCTTGAATATAGAAATAATCCAATTGAAGGGGATTAATTGAATATTTCATTTAGGTTTTAGATGTCGTTGACAACTAAAATTTATACTAGGCCAATGTATTCACACAAATAGGAACAGGAAATTTGTAGAATTGAGGTGTAACACTCACTTCCCCAAGTGCAGATTTGCTAATCAATTCAAATTCAAAGTAAGTGATTGATGGTTTAATGCTATTAGATCCAATAGCCACAGATTATGAATTAGTTTCAAATTGCTGTCTCAAATTAGGAGGTGGATTCCTAATACTTTCAAATGGAATATCATCAATGATTAAATAGGCAGTTTAAAATAGCGGGTAATATTCTTCACTCTGTAAAAATATCTTAAAGTCTATGACTTCGTTAGGTTAAAAATATCCTTCTTGAGGTTGGATGGAATAATAGTTCTATTCATCTTCTAATTTTAATTCCTTATCATCATTTTGTAGATACCAGTGATATTTAACTTTAACTGATGTTTTATTTCTTATCTTTAATTGTCTACTGGTCTCTACCTTTGGGATGGGATCGTTAAAGAATATTTTTTATAATTGCTCTTAATTTTCGAGATTAATGTTATCAATCCCTAAGATCCCTAATTCTACCATGTTGCCTCTGCCAATCAATTTTAATGTGGCCTGAGTCAAATTGTCACATCCCAAAATGATGTTTTCAATGACTTCGCCTTCAAGATCTGGTTTAAATATGGCTTAGATGATTTGTGTTTCTCCTTTATGCAAGAAGAATTCAGCAGGCGATAAGTAGAAATTACCAATCTATATATAATTCTCCTCTTCTTGCTAATCTTATTGATTATTTATAAAAAAACGATAGCCTGCTTCTCCTCCAGAATTTTTAACTACAAATCTTGTTTCTACTTAATCACCTATCCAACAACTCTGACAATCTAATTATGATGGCAAGTCCAGTTGTGGAGGTTCTTTTCTTGCCAATAATGGAACTTTTAAAATATGATCTTCCGTTATTAAGGCAATAGTATCATCAAACTCTGCCAATGAGGATGGATTGAATCTGACCTTTAATACTGCACTCATCCCTGGAGCTATGAATCCATCCTCCTTTGTTGGGTATTTGATTGCTGCTATCTGAAACTCCTTTCTAAAATAATGTTAAATCACTCACTTTTCAGGTGGTAACACTTTGATTCTCTACAAAGTCCCAGTGGCATTGGTAACATACAAATCTATTTCATACATGCCATTCAACATGTACTCTCTGAATATCAATTATTTCGGAAATACTCTAAAGGATGTTGTCTAATCCTTCTCCACCACGATATCCTAAGTTAATTCAAACTAATCTTACTTGCTTTGTATTGATGTATGAAAACAGAACCGGCGCTTTGTTAATTTTGAATCGAGGGTTCTTTAGATAATTAACTCGCTTATTCATGTTCTTAATGATCTGATTATTGATTTCTTTATCCTTCTCATTCATTTCCAATAGAAAGTTGCTCTTGCTTTTTTTCTATGTCACCGGTTTCAACTAGGTTGTTTCTTTCATTAGAAGTTATTTAATTATATATATATATTTAACTTTATAATATATATTTTATATTCAAGGTACCATTATAATGTTTGCCTTTGCCCTCTTCAATAATTCATCAGCTGTTGAACCAAAAAATGTCTTGCTTTCCAATTGTGCTCTGTATCCATTCGATCCGAACACTACAAAGTCAAGATCATCTGAATTGTTTATCATTTCAATCACATTCTCTATAGCCCTGTAGGATGGATCCAATTATTTATATTGCCATTTTCTTTGATATTTGGCCAT